CCCCCCCCCGCAAAAAAAGCCCTTTAGAAATTAAAATCCCGCAGCAAGTAATAAAGAAAGTCTGTTCAATTCAAGACAACCATACAAAACGCCATTTCATTAGCATTATAAATGCAATGAAAAAAATTTGTTATATAGTTTTTCCACATACCACATTTTACTACAACAACATTCTTTAGTACAACTATGTTATATGCAAATTGTCGTGATCGTTACGTAGACATCATATGACTATCGTATAGTTAATACAAAATACATAAAAACTAAACTATAAATATTTTCAGGTACCACTCATGTGTATAGGTTATACTGCTATATTGACGTATCTTCTTGGCATATATTTAAAACATACACTTGAGAATAAAATAAAAGTTTCCAACAAACTTTGTCAAATCCATGCTCGACCACATGCAATAATTCCCATGGCCATCAATTTTTATGAGGATTTTCTGTGGAAATTTGACGACGTCAAGTACACGTGAAACACAGGCATGATGAAACGTTTGTACCCCATTATCCTTTAGTATAGTGATATTTTACTCAAAAATTATGTTTAACTTCTGATAAAAGAAACACAAAACAAAACAAAGCACGATTTCATTGCTTTGGCGAAATACCCTCATAATTCAAAACGTCAAAAATCATTTGTTTTTGCCACTGATGCTTCAGTTCCCGGACCATGGGAGGTGATGAGGGTGTCATCTTCTAACTGAAAATAAATATAAATAAATAAATAAATAAATAAATAAATACATATCAGCAATTATGAGTTAGATGTTTTCGTTTACAATCACGACCACTTCACTAAGGGTGCATTCCCAGAGATTAAGATCGATCCAGAGATTTAGATTTAGGTCGACCTAACTCCCTGGGGGTTCACGCTAAATTGCAGTCAGCCGAGCGCGCACAATAGTTAATATTGCCCCCTTACAATTGTTGCTCTGTTTTTGTTCGCCCGTAGAGTAGCAGACGAGGACAAATTTATCATTTTTGTGATATCTTTCGTGGTTGGGGAGGAGAAGGGTCTGGTAGTAAAATATATTGTTCGTATTATAGTTTTCAGCGCCACATAGAGCATCTAAACTGTATCCTCTGCCTTGAGGAGGTCAAATATGATAGCATCTTCAGGTAATAAAATTGCCCCGTTTTGCTGTTCTTTATATCTTTTTGGGTGGGGTTCAGAAGGATCTGGCAGTAAGATGTCGTTTATATGCTGGCTTTCACTGCTGTTTCCTCCCCAGAGAGGTGAAAACGTCTACACCCCGTACATATCAGGGGGTAACATTCCAGGCATACTGTCATCTGTTGCAAACTGCAATGAGACGTTGGAAGCAGTGCCCCCCCTCTCTCCCCCCTCCCGTCTGCCCCCCCCCCTCCCCAATCCACACACACAGAATTGTCAAATTGTTTACAATACCTTCTGAAGCAGGGGTAGTTCGGTTGTCAGTACAGCAAGTACTGCGTCGTGGACCGTAAGATAGATGGCGTCTCTGCCTTGGTCACCGAGGAATACATTTTTCTGGACTGTCTCAGTAAGCTCATCTAGAAGACAGACAGAAGACAGAATCAATCAGAATTTTCAATGTCAACTTACAACATTAATAATTAATATTGACAGTAATTTTCACATTTGTATGAACCACTATGTATAAAAGCTGAGCTTACATTATAAGAACCAATAATCAGATCTTCAAATACTGTCATATTATTAGTAAGTTTTCTTGGAGAATCCAAGTCTCTAGAAAAATTAAATTAAAGATTAAACTATAGATTAAAGAAAATAGATATATTGCTTTCTAAATTCTCTACTAGTTCGTGTTACACAGTACATCCCAGTGTTGTAACAAACCTCTGCAATGCGCAAAAACAACCTGGACTCCAATGTCTTTGTAATCACATACAATCTGAAATGAAATGAACAATAATTGAATCGTTTTAACTTTCCGCTTATTTTCTTATTTAAGCTAATTGATCCGTTTTATGATAGAATGAAAGGGTCATTATGATCAATGTAACAATAAAAAACAATTGCACGAGTAAAACATGTAATTAAAAATACTGTTAGGTATAGAAGTGAAATAATTATCATATACCGAGATGAAAGGACAGTATCTTTTCGAGCATGATATGCAATTTTGTTTCAATCAAACCTGTCGTATTTATGAATGGACAGAGAGAGAAGCGAGAGAGAGAGAGGGGGAGAGAAAGGAGAGGGGAAGTGACTTTAACCTGTTTCAGAGCCTGGATACCAACAGCGTCTACAAAAGCCATGGCGGAACAGTCAACTATGATATGATGAATAGCGGGCTGAGGTGGAAGCTCTTCATTAACTTCTGAGGGTAATTTGTCATCAGGTTGGACGTCCTCTATGTGGAGGCTAAGTACTTCTTTGGGCAGGCCTATCATACCTCTGTTACTTATACCGTTCACTTCTGTAGTCTTCTTTATTGTGGTAGAAATGCACTGAATGAATAACAACTCTTAGTAAAAAATTCTAAAGAGTTAATGCTGGTCTAATATATGTATTTGATGGATACGGTATGAACGTTTTTTTTTCTCCAGAACACACTACTAGTTGGTATCACATTTATTTTCCATTCAAAGCGTGGCATTACGGATCCGAATAGATGAGCGTTAATATCGTTGAAATAATAATAATTATAATAATAATAATAATAATGCTTAGTATAGCAAATTGCCAATTGCCAATTAATAGAGCTCCACAAAAGCCCGCCACCAAAAATCGACCTTTCCAAAATTGTTTATGGAAACCAGTTATTTACTTTGTGTTACTTTGAGTGAAACCATTATGACCAACAAATTATAATATTTATTTCTTTGACGGAGTTAATAAATCATTGAATAAACGCCAATATTTATGTGAAATCTAACCTCTACTTTTTGTCTTTTCTTCTCTTCCTTCTCTCTTTCTTTCTCCAACGCTTCGCTTTTCTCTTTGCTCTTCATCTGTTTCGCTTTCAGGAGTGCCGGATCACAGTCAGTAGCTGCGTGCAGCTTGCTCCGGAAGTGTTCAGCGTTTGCGTAATACAGAGATGATCCAAAGTGGAATATCTTGATACCTGGAATTTCCTCCACCTGACATACATGTATATGACAAAATTCCTTCACCATCATGATCAGTATTTTTTTTCAGAAGAAGAAGAAGCAATCTGTGTGATCTAAATACAACAGTAAACAAGTCAACATTCTCAGTCAGTATAATAAAAACAAACATCCAAAGGTTTAATTTCGTCCTTTTTACATTTTGCATTACCCATACTTCAGGGCCGAAAGAAACAGCTTTTTTGTTCTGGGAAAAGGTCGATTTTGTTCATTGTATCTTCAGGCNGCAAAAAAAAAAGTCCTTTAGAAATTAAAATCCCGCAGCAAGTAATAAAGAAAGTTTGTTCAATTCAAGACAACCATACAAAACGCCATTTCATTAGCATTATAAATGCAATGAAAAAAAATTGTTATATAGTTTTTCCACATACCACATTTTACTACAACAACATTCTTTAGTACAACTATGTTATATGCAAATTGTCGTGATCGTTACGTAGACATCATATGAATATCGTATGGTTAATACAAAATACATAAAAGCTAAACTATAAATCTTTACAGGTGCCGGCCATGTGTATAGGTTATACTGCTATATTGACGTCTCTTCTCGGCATATATTTAAAACATACACTTGAGAATAAAATAAAAGTTTCCAACAAAATTTGTCAAATCCATGCTCGACCACATGCAATAATCCCATGGCCTTAAATTTTTATGAGGATTTTCTGTGGAAATTTGACGACGTCAAGTACACGTGAAACACAGACATGATGAAATGTTTGTACACCATTAACCTTACTATAGTAACATTTTACTCGAAAATAATGTTTAACTTCTGATAAAAGAAACACAAAACAAAACATAGCACGATTTCATTGCTTTGGCGAAAAACTCTCAAAATTCAAAACATCAAAAATCATTTGTTTTTGCCACTGATGCTTCAGTTCCCGGACCATGGTAGGTGATGAGGGTGTCATCTTCTAACTGAAAATAAATATAAATAAATAAATAAATAAATAAATAAATAAATAAATACATATCAGCAATTATGAGTTAGATGTTTTCGTTTACAATCACGACCACTTTACTAAGGGTGCATTCCCAGAGATTAAGATCAATCCAGAGATTTAAATTTAGATCGACCTAACTCCCTGTGGGTTCACGCTAAATTACAGTCAGCCGAGCGCGAAACATAGTTAATATTACCCCCTTACAATTGTTGCTCTGTTTTTCTTTGCCCGTAGATGAGCAGAGGAGGACAAATTTATCATTTTTGTGATATCTTTCGTGGTTGGGGAGGAGATAGGTCTGGTAGTAAAAAAAGTATTATAGTTTTCAGCGCCACTTAGAGCATCTGAAATGTATCCTCTGCCTGGAGGAGGTCAAATTTTCTAGCATCTTCAGGTATTAAAATTACCCTGCTTTGCTTTTCTTTATATCTTTTGGGGTGAGGTCAGAAGGATCTGGCAGTGAAAGATATCGTTTATATGCTAGCTTTAACTGCTGTTTCCTCCCCAGGGAGGTGAAAACTTCTACACCCAGTCTGTATCAGGGGGAAACGTGCCAGACATAGTATCATCTGTTGCAAACTGCAATGAGACGCTGAGACGCAGCAAATATATTGCCACACACGAGCCCACGCCTCCCCCCCCCACCCCCCCACCCCCGTCCACACACACAAATAGGTGCAGAATTGTCAAATTGTTTACAATACCTTCTGAAGCAGGGGTAGCTCGGTTGTCAGTACAGCAAGTACTGAGTCGTGGACCGTAAGATAGATGGCGTCTCTGCCTTCGTCACCGAGGAATACATTCTTCTGGACTATCTCAGTAAGCTCATCTAGAAGACAGAAAACAATTAGAATTTTCAATGTCAACTCATGTCGTTTATATTTAATATTGACATTAATTTTCACCTTTGTACGAACCACTTTTATAGAAAAAAACTGAGCTTACATTATAAGAACCAATAATAAGTTATTCAAATACTGTCATATTATTAGTAAATTTTCTTGGAGACTTTTAAGTCTCTAGGAAAATTAAATTATATATCAAAATGTTAAAGAAAATAGATTTATTGCTCTCTAAATTCTCTACGAGTTCGTGTAACACAGTACATCCCAGTGTTGTAACAAACCTCTGCAATGTGCAAAAACAACCTGAACTCCAACTTCTTTGTAATCACATACAATCTAAAATGAAATTAACAGTAATTGAATCGTTTTAACTTTCCGCTTATTTTCTTATTTAAGCTAATTGATCCGTTTTATGATAGAATGAAAGGGTCATTATGATCAATGTAACAATAAAAAACAATTGCACGAGTAAAACATGTAATTAAAAATACTGTTAGGTATAGAAGTGAAATAATTTTCATATACCGAGATGAAAGGACAGTATCATTTCCAGCATGATATGCAATTTTGCTTCAATCAAACATGTCGTATTTATCAAAGGACAGAGAGAAAAGCGAGAGAGAAAGAGGGGAGAGGGGAAGTGAATTTTACCTGTTTCAGAGCCTGGATACCAACAGCGTCTACAAAAGCCATGGCGGAACAGTCAACTATGATATGATGAATAGCGGGCTGAGGTGGAAGCTCTTCATTAACTTCTGAGGGTAATTTGTCATCAGGTTGGACGTCCTCTATGTGGAGGCTAAGTACTTCTTTGGACAGGCCTGTCATACCGCTGTTAGTTTTACCGTTCACTATTATAGTCTTCTTTATTGTGGTAGTAATGCAATGAATGAATAACAACTCTTAGTAAAAAATTCTAAAGAGTTAATGCTGGTCTAATATATGTATTTGATGGATAAGGTATGAACGTTGTTTTTACTCCAGCACACACTACATGTATACTAGTAGATATCACATTTCTTTTCCATTTCAAAGCGCGGCACTACGGATCCGAATAGATGAGCGTTAACATCGTTGAAAGAATAATAATAACGCTTAGTATAGCAATTAAAATACCACCATCAAAAGCCCGCCTTCAAAATTTAATCGACTCTGACCTCTCCGAAAATGTTTATGAAAATCCGTTAGTTACTTTGAATTACTTCGATTTAAACCGTTAAGACCAACGAGTCGAAATATTTATCTCCTTGCAATAAATCATTAAATAAACGCCAATATTTATGTAAAATCTAACCTCCATTTTTTGTCATTTCTTCTCTTCCTTCTCTCTCTCTTTCTCCAACGCCTCTCTTTTTTCCTTGCTCTTCATCTGTTTTGCTTTCAGGAGTGCCGGATCACAGCCAGTAGCTGTGTACAGTTTGCTCCTAAAGTGTTCAGCGTTGGCGTAATACAGAGATGATCCAAAGTGAAATATCTTGATATATGTGTATATGACAAAATTCCTTTATCACCATGATCAGCATTGTTATTATTATACTTATTGTTATTTTCAAAAGAAAAAGAAATCTGGGTGATCTGAATAAAACAGTAAATAAGTCAGTAAGTCAATATAAACATCCACTGGTCTCGTCCTTTTAACATTTTGCATTACCCATACTTCAGGGACGAAAAAACAGCTTTTTTGTTCTGGGAAAAGGTCGATTTTGTTCATTGTATCTTCAATGGTGGTGATAAAAAACCGTAACTTTCTTTGCATTCTTTGCATCAAGCCAACAGTCAATCAAGTGACAGAGCCCCTCCCCCAACCTCCATGTCTCATGCCTCGTAGACAAAAACATGTGCCGTTATGATATACTGCATGTTGGTGCCCTTGTAATAACAGTTATAACAAAAAAAAAACAACAACAAAAAAAAAAAAATACATTCACCATATAAAAGGTAAGGAAACAAAACTGTTTTAATTATTTTAATATTTAAAAAAAACTATGTAATGAAGTGGGGAAATCTTCAGTGTATATAAAAAATCCAACAAATGGTGGATGCATTATCCATCAACATTTTGTAAAAATATTTACCTTAGCTCATATGGTTATTAAAGTANTTCACCATATAAAAGGTAAGGAAACAAAACTGTTTTAATTATTTTAATATTTAAAAAAAACTATGTAATGAAGTGGGGAAATCTTCAGTGTATATAAAAAATCCAACAAATGGTGGATGCATTATCCATCAACATTTTGTAAAAATATTTACCTTAGCTCATATGGTTATTAAAGTATTATTCAAAATAACGATGTTTCTGGATTTTTATTTTATTTTATTTTATTTTATTGCGAGTGTATATTTGTAAGCAATAACTTTTAAAGCATATATATACTCACCATCTTGTATATATTGCTGTCTCTGTATATATCTGAGTGTGGTACTCTTCCATACAAACACGTGTACGGCCTTATAAAGGAAATACATGTGTTCTTATACTATGGAGACAAGTGCATGTAGCGCTCTCAGAGGAAAGACGATCTTATTTCTAATTGTCGAGTTGGAAAATTCAAAACACTGTTTGACTACATAAGCTGCCGAGTGTTTAAAACTTTTCCACAGTCAACATGCAAAATCAAAATTAATAAATTTCGTGAAATAGTAAACTTTGTGAAATGTTACAAACCATATAGTATATAAAAAGTGAAAGTTCTTCTCTTTTGAGCAATGTCAAAGAAATGTATGTGCGAATACACTGTGGGTTTATGAAAAGAAATGCAAAGATCTAACTTGTAATAATTAATGAAGGTAACAAAGTCAAAACGCTAACATAATACATAAGCCGAAATATATTTGAACTTTTTTTGGCATATACCATTAAATCAAAAATAATAAATGTACCTGTAGCATGAGGTATTCATCTCACACCATTCCGTAACGGTAAAATTTTACATACTACTACAGTATACATTGATAGTGCTAATCTGTCGAAAATATATTAGGCAGATGTGTTGAAAATACCATGGTCAGATGATACAAAATAAAGATGTCATACCACTGTGTCCTGAACACGACGGTGAGCAGGGAGAAACCAACTCCTACATGTATCATGAGGCCATACTTCAAGTCAAGGATAACTACCCCAAGGAAAGTAACGATCCAGATGGCCTTCGTGAAAAAAGATATATATTAAAAATGAATGCATGTTTTTTAAGTGGAATGGAAAAAAATCAACATATTTTTAGAAGAAAATTTAGCAAACACACACATACAGAGAGAGAGAGAGACAGAATTATTGTGTGACACATAGCCACTAAGACTCGGTGTGTCAGGTGTTCAAGTATGAAATAGAATATATTATCAGGCGAGTGTGTTAGGTGTGACAATATAAACGCGTCAGCTTTGCTTATTGCTTACAAAATCAAATTTAGAAATCCCCCCACAGTCTCTTGATGCTTTTGACCTGCAGGAACATGCCTTTCAGTGCCACGATGATGATGGAGGCAAGAACACTGGTAATAAAAAAAATCACATAGCTTTAATTAGAGTTACGAGAAAATAAATTACTTTAAAGGCAAAGAATGATGGATGAACGTCGGATGAGTGCCTGCTACTGAAAGAGTTGGCCACCATCATTTTAATCTATATTTTATACTTAAAATTATAACCTCACTACTCTTTTACAACTTCCTGCAGTTATTTTGCACAGCGCTTTCTAAGTACTGGGCTTCTAGTATTAAGAAAACAGCACTGTTATGACGCATTCTCCTTTATCTCATCAATATTATTAACAATGTGTTCGGTGCACTGATCTTTAAGTATTGACAAGTTAAACATCTGTGTCAACGTCAATACGCTGATGCCCAGGTCACAACTCAAAGCAAAAATTGATTTTGTTTTGTATTGATGTGATCGTATCTGGGAGTGAAATAAAGATCCCTGTTTTTTATAAATATTGTCAATATAATTTTCAATGGACTTCAGATGATATTTACCTGTACATCAGTCATTTAAGAAAAAAAGTAATAAATCCATCTTGCCTGTAAATAAATAGATAAATAAATAAATTTACCGATAGGAATAAAAGAAAATATAAATAAGGAATAAATAAAACACAAAGTTTTAATAGATTTACTGTGTACTGATCATGCTATATACCAACAAATCGCATGAGAACTGGCCACGTTCACAACACATCGACCCGTCACAGGTGGTTTCTGTTTATATGACCACTAGAGTTATGTCCAACTTCCCTCTAGCAAACGCAGGTGACTTGCTAATAGATCCCTTCTCTGACCTTAATACTCTAAACTGGGCATTTTTTAAAATAAAATTTCACTTCTATGCTCTTCTGTTTACATCACACCGATGCTATTCCCGGGGGCTCATCACACAGAAACAATATACCTCATACCCCACAGGTTACAATCCTAGGGTTAGCAAGGCTAGAGAATCATCAGCATACAGCCGTAGAGATTCTACGAATAAAAAAACATTTAATGCACGTCATTCATGTAGTGCTGTCTAGTTTTCGTTTCGAGATTGGCTAAATAACTAACACTATAGGTATGAAATAGGTAACAATTTGCTGCAATCAAACAATCTAACCGCAATATTTGTCCAGATAAGAACCTGCGTTAGGTCGCTGTTAATCAATCATTATAAGTCACCATAGCGAGACTCTGTACGTGCATGCTATCTCTACATATAAAGGTGAAGGCGAAATGCAATACACATGCAGATAAGTGCTAGAAGTCGCCGAAATTTGATAATTGAAAAGCGTGTAAGGAGCAAAGTAGTAGTGAAAAAAGCGTAATTGGAAAGCGTTATTGGAATTAAGGAGCTTGAGTACCAGGTGACAACGCGACACTGAAATATTTTATGACTCACAATGTCACCAACACCACCTGACAATATTGGAGAGACGCCATGTTACTTTCTTAGAGGAAAATCTTAACGCAGCTCAAATAATGTCACTTTTGAAGACTTAAAATGTAAAAGGATCCGACTTCATCATGGAAAAAATCTAACAAAACTGTTTTTGTGCAAGAACTCACTGTGCTTGGAAACCCAATGATGTATTTTTATTTGATGAGTGTAGAAGACTTCCCTAATGAACTTGTTTTGAAGAAATATTCGTAAAAGACCGCAGACAGATTGAATCTCAGAGGTACAGTATGGGGCTTACTATTTACAAACTCACTCTCTCTCTCTCTCCTTTCCTATCCTGTTTCCTCCATTCTCTCTCTCTCCATTCCT